TAACTGCGGAGAATATGAAGTTTCTTTTCGTTATGGGACACTTCTTGGAACTCATTCTGATTGTCCTGGTACCAATGCTAACCTTGTATGGTATGCTCACTACTACTTCACTTGAGTGCACATGTACATCTGTCTAGTGCTGATTACCTTGACCTGCCAGGATTGGCCTGTGGCATGATTGCAACGGCAATGTACACTGTATTGTACGTGTTGATATACGGTACTGATGATGACGAGAATGGGAAGCACTGACAAGTATTGTCACCGTCTGACTGAGACCAACTGGGGCGCAAACAATGTGGCTGGTGCTCGCGCTTGTGGCCTCCTCGTTGATTATCACCCGGGAATTGGATAGTACTTGATTCCATGGGCCTTTTTGCCTTCGAACACACCGTCTCTGGGCAATCGAGCAGTCGAGTTCAACACACGCGGTGATGCCAAAGTTTGCATTCTGAAGGAAATACGGCTTTCCTCAACGGCAGCCGACATGGGTGATGTCCATCAAGCTCTGTCAAACTTGTGGTGAGGCGCAATCCAAGGCTATGTACCTGATTCCAAGTCTTCTCATAGTACAGATCGACAGCTCGGGGTTATCCTCAACGGCTCAATGACTTAGCAACGCTCATTAGCCAGCCACGTTTCCCGCTCCTCCCTCGACAGTTTCTTTACGACATCACGGATCCTAGTGACTCTTAAGCAGCAGCCCAGCTCGACCCATCCTCACTTCCTCCTTTCTTTGCTTCAATTTGCGTTCATCACTTTGAAATTGCGCGCTTCTACGCCCCAAGTGGCCTCTGGTGTGGGCGGCATGCACAGACAGCGAATCCGCAGCTGTTTGAACTGGCATGGGAAGCAGCACGCGCGTCGAGACACTGTTCTAGTTGTCCAGAACACTGATGCTGAAATGGTGGGAATGGATGTTGCACGCGTTCATCTGCTCTTCTCCTTTAAGCATGATGAACTTACATACTCATGCGCCCCGTTCACTGGTACGACGCCGTCTCGCAGCGGCCACATCCGTCCGATGGGATGTGGATTGTAAAACCACAATTACGCGGTAACGCCGAAGGTTTGCAGGTTATTCATCTCGATGGCATTGCGCGCGCTGTACATCTAATCCCTTGCTATTCTTATGGTAATCGACCTCTTCCTCCCAGCTTCCATTTCTCCCAGTTGTTGGATTATTTCTCGCAATTCTACGTGAGTAAATGCTCTGATTATCATGCCCACAAATCAACACATAGTCAAGTCGTTAATTTTCAGTCTGTACACCTATTATCAAATACATGCACTCTGGAGCTCTGGAGACCTGGAGGAATCTGATTTCTTTGTCTGAAAAGCTGGGTGTCTGGAGCGCTGGAGGTTAAATTTGCTTCAGAGTTTCAGAGCATTCCAGCGCCACCAAAATTTGTTATCTTGCTGATGTGCGTTTGTGGATGACATCGCGGTGGTGGCAATAGGGGAGACACGCAAGGTGACACACGGCATACTCAAGGATGTGATGACTAGGGAAGGGGGGATGGAGGAGTGGTCGCAGCGGCACAACTCCAGGATGTAACCGGGGAAGCTGGCACTAGTGAACTTCACAAGGACCAAGTCACTGGAGGAGCACGAGTTGTAAATAGACGGAACAGCAATCAGGGCTTGCAAGTCGCACAAGTTTCTGGGGGTCATCTTTGACAGCAAATTGCAATTGCACACGCAGGCGCAGGCAGCAGTGGAGAAGGGAACGAGATGGGTCAACATGTTGGTGCGTATTACTTGCATGAACTCGGGCCTGAGATCGGAGATGCTTTGGCAACTGTACATCAAGTGGTGATGGCAAAGATGTTGTACGCGTCAGACGTTTGGCTACAACTGCTACGCAACAGCCCAGTGGGAGGTTCAAGGGTGAAAGCGCTGGGGTCAGTGGGGCACATGCGTCTACTTAGTTGGTGCAGCGTATGGCAGCAAGGGCAATCACAGGGGCAATGAAGGGGACAGCAACAGCCATCATGGAGACGCACGCGCAGCTTGCACTGGTGCACATAGCCCATGCACAATTATGCGAAAGGGCTCTCACAAGGATGGCCAGCCTCCACGTACTCACCCAATTTAGGACGTTTACAGCGAGGCAAGATGAAGAGTCAAGAACGAGGCACACCCAGTGAGGGGGATGCTACGGCACAGCTCACCAATGGAAGAGCTGCTATTGGTGACGGAACTCCCAGAGAGGGGGATACAGACTGTCACCCCGGCAATGATGAACTATGATCCCCTACCATGCGAGATCTATATCTCATCTAACAAGGAGCATTCGCTCAAGGTGGAAACCGCGGACACCTCAGCGATCAAAATCTATTCGGACGGCTCAGGGGTAGAAGGGTTAGTGGGAGCGGCAGCGGCGGCGACGATAGAAGGGTTACCAGGAAAGGAACTGCAATACAGACTCGGACCTCTCACCAAGTTCACAATGTGCAAAGCGGAGGCGGTTGGAGTGATGCTGGTGCTACACATCCTTGGCACGATGGAGCCAAAAGACTACGGGCTGCAGGCAGAAGGAGGCCAGGTGACAGCTACCATAGCGTTGGACAACCAATCGGTTCCAGCGGTGAGGGCACCCAAAGCTGGAGCGGGCCAATATCTGATACTTAACATCAGAGGGATGATAGCAGGAACAATAGCAAGGTATAAGGAGGAAATGAGCGCGGAATTGAAGCTTGTCCTGCAATGAACAGCAGGTCACAGAGGAACGGCAGGGAACAAAAAGGCGGACAAAAGCGCGCGTCCAGAGGGGAGGAGAGCTGGTGGAGGGAGCTCCTGAGGGAGCTGCGCGGTATAGACATGATGTCGGCGAACCTATTAGCAGTCAGGCAGAAGATTCAGAAGAAGACGGAGATGAGGTGGAAGCAGGAGGGCAAAATCACCAAGGCACCGGAAGATCCTAGAGATTGACAACTTGGACAAGTTCAATCACTACCGCAAGATCACAACAGGGCTTCACCGCTCCGCAGCAAGCATCATATTTCAGCTCCGTTCGGGGGCAGTTCCTCTCGCTAAGTACCTCTTAGTCATTCAGGCAGCTAACAATCTCAGGTGCCCATGCTCCAGAGGCTCGCCACGTCCACAACAGACAGTCAAGCTCTATTTACTAGAGTGCCTGAGGTTTCGACCTCAAAGGCAGATACTGCGGAGGGAATTGCAAGAAATCAGGAAAACTCTGTCTGATATTCAGGGTGCAGCTCCATGAACTTTCTCCATGGATTCGGACTGTTTGCCTGCATGAATCAATACCCGTGAATTCATAATGTTCTCTCTGATATCTACAGGGAAGTACCATGATTTCATGGCTGTAATACCATGAATTCTTGTGCCATGGTGTTGATGAATGAGTAACCTAAAAGCCCGTGATCGGAGCCTCTTAGTATCTGACACCATGTCCCCAGCGTCCACGACTGCATCTTTACCATCTGCCGATTCAACGACGAAATCCAACAAGACACGCTCCTCGAAACCCGTCAAACTACCTACTTACGTCGGTTACGACATCCCGCACACCGCGTTCATCGACCTAGCCTTCTCTTTCCCCTCCAACCGTGACTTGGACTCTGGGCAACGACGGACGTACTTACACGCCCAAGGACTCTTTCCTAAGTCCCGGGGATTTCCATCCTACATGGGTTAGCCTAACTCGTCCTGCATCTGAGAACGCCCTCAGGCTTATTGCATCCTGATCACAACACCGACTC